TTTATTTGAAAGAGAGAGACACAGGGAGAGAGGGAACACAAGCAGGGGAAGCGGGAGAGGGAGAAGCAGGCTTCCCACTGAGCAGAGAGCGCTATTTGGGCTCGATCCGAGGACCCTGGGACCATGACCTCAGCTGATGGCAGACGTTTACTGACCGAGCCACCCAGGCGCCCCAAAAATGGACTAAATTTCTTATTAGCAGACCTGATCTATAAGAAATAGGAAAGGAACGTGTTTTCATAATGGTTGGGTCAAAAGGATAACCTATGAAATAATTGTAATTTCTCAAAAGAGAGACAGTGTATTTCTTAAAAGGACGAGATTGACAGTATACTGTAGCACTTATAAGTACAGAAGAGAGAAGAGAATGAACCATTCTTATCTACCTATGAAGTATGTATAAATATCGAAATATGAAATAGTCATTTGCAGATGATTTCACCACTCACACAAAGATGTCATAAACATGTTCTTTTGAAATAATGTAAGCGAAAGATACAATGGTAGCAAAAGAAAGATATTATTTTAAATGATTTTTAATCCAGAGTGACTACATGAATACAAAAAATAGGGAAGGAGAGAAGGAAATAGAGAAGAGTAGGTGAAAAAGGGAGATCGAAGATATTACGAAAGTAGATGAAAAGCCTAAAGAAAGACATGAATAAATAACTGGAGACAACTGAGCTTAAGTGAAGAAGGAAATCAATATTATAAGAAATGAAATCCATTATCTCCCCAGCAATCAATATATCAAATATATAGATATTACAGATTATACATTTCTCCCAGCCCAGCCCAATCCATTCCTCCCTCCTCAGAACATCTAAGCTGACCTGTAAGGTTTATTTTTAGAAAATACCTGTGAAAACATCTAAGTACGGTAATGACTCAGAATATAGAAGTAGGTCATTGGAAGTCTAAATTTTTAAGATGTAAAGTTAAAGAGAACAGTCACAGAGCGAGGGAATTCATGTGTATATGGGTGCACTTTTTTTATTTCATATAGCCTGTCCTGCAAAACATCTGACTAGCTCAAAATACATTGCCTTTCTGCCACTTGGTTGAGATTTCTTTTCTTTCTTTTTCTTTCTTTCTTTCTTTCTTTCTTTCTTTCTTTCTTTCTTTCTTTCTTTCTTTCTTTCTTTCTTTCTTTCTTTCTTTCTTTTCTTCTTTCTTTCTTCTTCTTTTTTTAATGTCTTTATTATATGATGTCACCATATGGTTGAGGTTTAGCCTAAAAAATTAAACAGTTCAACCTTCTACTAATTAGGAACTACAGAATTTGTAATATATTAACCATTGTCCAACCTGAGAGTGCTCATCAGCAAGATCTCTTCTTATATAGAATCAGTTGAGAGAGTCTCAACCTTCAAGCCTCCTCCAGAAAAAGAAACCCTAATGTCACCAGATTTATGTCAGATACGAGTATTGCAAAATATCTGGGTTTAGGCAGAGAATGGGATAGGTAGAACAGCTGAAAAAGAGCTGCTGAAACTCCTCCTTATTTGCTTTCCTATACTTTTGGAGCATGTTCAAGGCATAAGGGATTTTATCTTCAACCTGAAATCTCTTAGGACTCCTACTGAAATGAAGGGTTTACTCACCTACACCTACTGTGAACATGACCGTTCCTGTTTCCTATTTCATTTTGCAAACTTAACCTTCTTTCATCTGCATGTTCCTTTTCATGTAGCCTCCATGTTCAATATAACACATACTGGAGGAATATAAATAAAAACAGAATCTGCATCCAGTCTATAAAATCTCTTCACAAAGACAGAAGAGAAAGAAAACCGTTTTTTTATAGAGTACTCACTAACCAGAGAGAATGTAAGGTGCATCACATCCTAAGTGATAAAAAGATCGCAAAGACAGAAATCTTATTCTTCTATATAGCATAGAAGATACAACCTATTCTATTCATGTTTTCCAGGTAAAATAGCTCATTTCCTTTATCTTTATGGAGGTAAGGTTTAAATTTTAGAGCAGATGACATTTGAATTATGCCATCTTTCAGTAAAATCGACAAACTCTTCTTTCTCCCTACTTGAAGAAACTTTTCTACATTTAATGTGATTTCTGCATTCTGTTCCTCCCATTAACTTGCTGTTTTCTCTACATATACTCCCTTTTGTTTGTAGCCATAGATAATCACTAGGCCCCCTGAAAAAATCACATGTGGAAAATTAAGGAAATGCCCTAGAATATAAATACACATCTTTACAATTTTGCAAGAAAAATGTTTGAATGAAATAATTGTCAAAATTCATGAACCTTGGGGCGCCTGGGTGGCTCAGTTGGTTAAACCACTGCCTTCAGCTCAGGTCATGATCCCAGGGTCCTGGGATCAAGCCCCAAATCAGGCTCCCTGCTCATGCAGGAAGCCTGGCTCTCCCTCTGCCTGCCGCTCACCCTGCTTGTGCTCTCTCCTCTCTCTCTCGCTCTCTCTGTGTATCAAATAAATAAATAAATAAATAAATTCAAGAACCTGAATCTGGAGGGAGTATCCTTTTTTTAAAATTTATTTTATTTATTTATTAATTTGTTTGTTTGTTTGTTTATTTGAGTGGCAGAATTTGCACAAGTGGTGGAAAGGGGAAAGGGTGAAGGGACAAGATCTCAAGCCGACTCAGAGCTGTGTTTGGAGCCTGACTTGAGACTTGATTTCATTATCCTGAGATCATGACCTGAGCTAAAACCAAGAGTTCTATGCTTAACCAACAAAGATACCCTGGAGGGAGTATCTTTTTCTCTCCATGAAATATTTACTAATGTGAAAATATTATTACTTTCTGTTAATACATAAAATTCTGCGTTTAAAAAGTATAAGGGCCCCTGGGTGGCTCAGTTGTTTAAGCGACTGCCTTCAGCTCTACTCATGATCCTGGAGTCCTGGGATCAAGAACCACATCGGGCTCCCTGCTCAGCAGGGAGTCTGCTTCTTCCTCTGAACCTCTTCCCTCTCGTGCTATTTCTCATTCTCTCTCTCTCAAATAAATAAGTAAAATCTTTAAAAAAAATAAAAAGTATATTAAACTAAGACATCCTCCTAATGTTGGTATCTCTTTCTGAGGCATGATAAAATATGGCCATGGTAAAAATATTTCTTCTACACATATTGAAAAGACAAAGCAGTCACAATATTATACCATGAAACTACAGAAATTCTTACTGAAAGTGGAGTATGGTTATTGCTAGACAGAAAATGAACTTTTCACCCAAATTAAGACTGCCTTACAAATGTACATTCATTTTTGGGGCACAAAATTACCCCACATAATCTTTTTGTATAAATACATTGGCTGTTGCAATAAAAGGAATTTTCCCAAGAGACACATAGAAATAGATTTTATTTATAACACTGTCATGTTATTTTTTTATCTCTGACTCTTTAGGATCTCATTCATAGTAGATCTCTTGACATCTCTTAAAATATTTTATTTCCTGACTATCTAAGATGTATTTACAGACATACCAAACGAAATCATATTTATTCCACTAATATGAGATTAAGTGCATTTGATACTATTTAACATAGAATACTTACAAAGGAATAACAGATAAGTTAACTTTACATTCAGAAAACTAATTACATTTTTTTTTTTTAGTCAGTAATAACAACAGATTTAGGCTACTGTTAAAAAATAGAGGCCAAGTACACATTATGTAAAAATAACCATTTCATAATATAAAATTCATGGGCAATTGTAACTTTGTAATGTTGTTTCTTATTACCTAATTCTTAAATATTTTCAACATCTTAAGAAAAAGTCCTTAAACAGAACTTTTCGTTCCCCTCTAACCTGGCACCTGGAAACCACTAACTTGTGGTCTCAATGACTTTCTTTATATACAGGTTACACAGATTTAAGTTCCAAATGGTCAGGGCTTTTGAAATCTTTCCTTTTACTCATTTTTCTGCAGTTTGCATTTACCAGGTTTTATGTTTTGGGGACCAAGCTATTAAGAGTGTGTGTAGAAGAAGGAAATGATTTTATATAGGGGCTAAATATAATTATGTATTTCTTTCTTTAAAAAAATTTGTAAAAAGATTTTGTCCATCCTATTTTTTTGGTCCTGTCTACATAACTTTTATTTTACGTACTTTATTTTAACCGAACTAATTTCAAAACTAGACACTCGTGCTTTAATTGCTAGAATACAGGCATCTTGTGATGTCACAACTGCTCAGGTGGTGGACTTTTAGGATGGTCTGGATAGTTTTCTCTGCGTAGGCCAGTTAAAGCGGCATTTGAAGCTACAGTATTCTAAACTATGCAAATGAGAAACATAGTTGAAGGAAACTTATTTGAGATGGCACACGTTTCCTCAGAAATTCAAGATGATTCTCCTAAAAATGGATTGACTGGTTCCACAGCCTCCATTAGCGCTCCTTTGTGTGAGCGCACATTTACTGGAAATGTGGACCTGAGGTCTATGATTGAAGAAAATGCTTTTCAGGGCTTTTCAGGAGGATCCTTGAGTAAAAGACCATGTTACACACTCTGTGTCTCTGAAGCAGATGAAGATAATGATTTTCTTTCTCTGACCTTTCTCAGAAAACTTTGGAAAATAGTTAAAAGTGACCAATTCAAGTCAATTTTCGCCCATTCTCTCAGTTGTCTTTTGGTTTTGTGGACTGTTTCTTTTGCTGTGAAACGCTTTTTATCTTGATGAGATCCCAATAGTTCATTTTTGCCCTTGCTTCCCTTGACTTTGGCGATGTTTCTAGGAAGAAGTTGCTGTGGATGAGGTCGAAGAGGTTGCTGCCTGTGTTCTTCTTTAGGATTTTGATGAACTCCTGTCTCACAGTTGGGTCTTTCAACATTTTGGAGTTTATTTTTGTGTGTGGTGTAAGGAAATGGTCCAGTTTCATTCTTCTGCATGTGGCTGTCCAGTGTTCCCAACGTCATTTGTTGAAGAGACTGTCTCTTTTCCATTGGATATTCTTTCCTGCTTTGTCAAAGAGTAGTTGATCATAGAGTTGAGGGTCCAATTCTGGGCTCTCTATTCTGTTCCATTGACCTATGTGTCTGTTTTTGTGCCAGTACCATATTGTCTTGATGATGACAGCTTTGTAATAGAGCTGGAAGACCGGAATTGTGATTCCGCCAGCGTTGCTTTTCTTTTTCAACATTCCTCTGCATATTCGGGGTGTTTTCTGGTTCCAGACAAATTTTAGGATTATTTGTTCCATTTCTTTGAAAATAGTGGATGGTATTTTGATGGGGATTGCATTGGAAGTGTAGATTGCTCTAGGTAACATTGACATCTTCACAATGTTTGTTCTTCCAATTCATGAGCATGGAAACTTTTGCCATTTCTTTATGTCTTCCTCAATTATAGTTTTCTGAGTACAGATCCTTTGTCTCTTTGGTTAGATTTATCCCTAGTTATCTTATGGTTTTGGGTACCATTGTAAATGGGATCTACTCCCTAAATTTCTCTCTCTTTTGTCTTGTTGTTGGTGTATAGGAATGCCACTGATTTCTGTGCATTGATTTTATATCCTGCCATGTTACTGAATTCCTGTATGTGTTCTAGCAGTTTTGGAGTGGAGTCCTTTGGGTTTTCCACTTAAAGTATCATATCATCTGCAAAGAGTGAGAGTTTGACTTCCTCTTTGCCGATTTCGATGACTCTGATTTCTTTTTGTTGTCTGATTGCTGTGGCTAGAACTTCTAATAATATGTTGAATAGCAGTGGTGATATTGGACATCCCTGCCGAGTTCCTGACCTAAGGGGGAAAGCTCTCAGTTTTTCCCCATTGAGAATAATATTCACTGTAGGTTTTTCATGGATGGCTTTTAAGATATTGAGGTATGTACCCTCTATCCCTATACTCTGAAGAGTTTTGATCACGAAAGAATGCTGTACTTTGTCAAATGCTTTTTCTGCATCTAGTGAGAGTATCATATGTTTCTTGTTCTTTCTCTTGTTAATGTATTGTATCACGTTGTTTGAATCGCGAATTCTGAAACAAACTTGCAGCCCAGGGATTAATCCCCCTTGGTCGTGGTGAATAATTCTTTTAATGTGCTGTTGGATCCTATTGACTAGTATTTTGGTGAGAATTTTTGCATCCATGTTCATCAAGGTTATTGCTCTGAAATTTTCTTTTGATGGGGTCTTTGTCTGGTTTGGGGATCAAGGTAATGGTGGCCTCATAAAATGAGTTTCAAAGTTTTCTTTCCATTTCTATTTTTTTGGAACAGTTTCAGGGATAGGTAGTAATTCTTCTTCAAATGTTTGGTAGAATTCCCCTGGGAAGTCATGTGGCCCTGGGCTTTTGTTTGTTGGGACATTTTTGATGACTGCTTCAATTTCCTTAGTGATTATATGTCTGTTCAGGTTTTCTATTTCTTCCTGGTTCAATTTTGGTAGTTGAAACATCCCTGGGAATGCATCCATTTCTTCCAGGTTATCTAATTTGCTGGCATAGAGTTGTTCATAATATGTTCTTATAAGTGTTTTCATTTTTTTGGTTTTGGCTGTGATCTCTCCTCTTTCATTCACGATTTTGTTGCTTTGGATCTTTCCTCTTTTCTTTTTGATAAGTGTGGCCAGGGGTTCATCAATCGATTAAATCTTTCAAAGAAACAGCTCCTAGTTTCGTTTATCTGTTCAACTGTTCTTTTTGTTTCTATTTCATTGAGTTCTGCTCTGATCTTTATTATCTCTCTTCTCCTGCTGCGTTTAGGCTTTATTTGCTCTTTTTTCTCTAGCTCCTTTAGGTGTAAGGTTAATTTGTGTATTTGAGAACTTTCTTGTTTCGTGAGAAAGGCTTCTATTTCTATACACTTTCCTCTTAGGTCTGCCTTTGCTTCATCCCAAAGATTTTGAACTGTTGTGTTTCCATTCTCATTTGTTCCCATGATTTTTTTTTTAAATTCTTCTTTAATTTCCTGGTTGACCCATTCATTTTTCAGTAGGATGCTCTTTATCCTCCATGTATTTGAGTTCTTTCCTTCTTTCCTCTTATGATTGAGTTCTAGCTTCAAAGAATTGTGGTCTGAAAATATGCAGGAAATAATCGCAAAATTTTGGTACCAATTGAGCCATGATTTGTGACCTAGGATTGGATTTGTTCTGGAGAATGTTCCATGGGGACTAGAGAAAAATGTGTATTCTGTTGCTTTGGGTTGGAATGTTCTGAATATGTCTGTGA